CAAATCATAGCACAAACCCTAGTTTATACAATATAGGGGCAAAATAGTAATTTTGGTTGCAATAGTCCTTACCTCGAGGCTAGCAACGAATCCTAAACGTCAAACCTAGTTTGATGGATCATTCTCACGTACCTAGGAAGTGATAGGTTCGAAGGATCTCAATTTAGGAGAAAGAAATTTAGGAAACGGATGAACGACGCCAATTAGGCAACAAACGCACTTACCGGAATATTGGATTGTTTGATCTCATCATTGGCATAAAATTTCGTGCTGGATACGTTAATATTGAAGAGCTGGAAGGGATAGAGCTTGAAGAGGCGGTCCTAGGGTTTTTGGAATGAGGAAAATCGGATTAGGGATGTATTTATAGTGAATTTCCGAAGTTTGAGTTGCATTAGGATACAACAGGAACGCACGCGTGCGTACCTTCCACGCACGCCGTGCGTGACCCCCAGACGCCCCAAACCTTAGTTTTTACCCCGTTTCTTCCCCGTTTGGACCTCCCCTTTGTCCCAAACACTAAACCAAACATAATAAACGACCTAAAGACCGTGTAAACAATATGAAACACAATTTTAATTATTTCCCAAATTCTCTCAAATTTTCGGGGTATTACAGCTGACCTTGCCCGGAGGTGCACCGTATGTCAACATTTCCAGAAAGCTCCCGGCAGGCCAGCGGTCAACTATGCCCCCATCAGCACCTCTGTCCCATTTTCTCGATGGGGGATAGACCTTGTGGGCCCCCTGCCGAGGGGTACCTCCAACAACAGATACATCATTGTGGCCGTCGACTATTTTACCAAGTGGGTGGAGGCTGAACCCCTCGCCAGCATCACAGAGGCGAAGTGCCGTCACTTCGTCCTCAAGAACATCCTCACAAGGTTTGGCGTCCCCCAGCAGATCATCTCCGACAACGGGACACAATTTGAGGCAGCCCCCTTCTGCGCCCTTCTGGAGGCATGGGGCATCAAACACACCTTCTCCTCCGTTGCCTACCCTCAAGGCAACGGGCAAGTAGAGAACGCCAACCGGACCTTGCTCGAGGGCCTCAAAAAGAAGCTGGAGGCCGAGGGCAGTGGCTGGGTGGAAGAACTCCACAACATCCTTTGGGCCTATCGCACCACCCCTCGGCGAGCAACAGGTGAAACACCATTCTCCCTCTGCTACGGTTTTGAAGCCAAAGCTCCTACGGAAGTCACCCTTCCCACCTGAAGGGTGATCCAGTATGACCTCGAGGTCAACGACAGCAACATGGCCCTCGACCTCCACCTCATTTCAGAACGCCGGGAGCAGGCCTTCATCCGGGCAGAAAACTACCGAAGGCAAGTCAAAAGCTACATCAACGCCAAAGTTCGCACCAGAGAATTCCAAGTGGGGGACTATGTCCTCCGGAGGAGGGAAGCCAGCCAACCAACCGAGGGAGGAAAAATGGCACCAAAATTCGAAGGCCCCTACATCATAGCGGCCATCATCAAACCCGGGACTTACAAACTCAAACGCCCCAGCGGGAAAGAGGTCCCTAGGCACTGGAATGTACACCACTTAGTTAGATTTTATCAATAATGTAAGAGCGGCCAAGCCCTCATAACTAGTGAATGTACTATCCTGTGGCCCGGGGCCTCCGATATAGAATGAAGATAGATACATTCAAGACATCAAGCCCTCATACTGACTACAGGCCCCAGGCCTCACCACGAGAAGAACCCCCTCCGGCACCAAGTGTCGAGGGCGGACGCCATCAACACCTACAACATCAGTGAAAACACCACGTGTTTTCAGTCAAGACCCCTCGGTACCAAGTACCGAGGGAAGGAACTCCTATCACCAACAACAAGGAACGCCATGTGTTTCGTTTCCCTTCGGCACCCAGTGCCGAGGGTACATCCCCACCTTCAACATAAAAAAAAAAAGATGCGAACACCAAGTGTTCCTACAGAAGACCCTTCGGCACCCAGTGCCGAGGGTACACCTCCATCATCAAACATCGAAACGAAGAAAAAAAAAACACCAAAATGTTTCAAAGAAGACCCCTCGGCACCCAGTGCCAGGGATATGCTCTCCTATCAACTTCCAAACATCTGTTGGGAAACACCGATTGTTTCATTTGAAGACCCTTCGGTACCAAGTACCGAGAGTAGACGCCTACATCAACCACGACAAAGGAGAACACCAAGTGTTCCTACAGAAGACCCCTCGGTACCAAGTACCGGGGGCTACACATCGAAACTAACACCAAGTATTGTTTCTAAAAGCCGTACCCCACGAGGACGCACATACCGAAGGCGCCACCATCGGTGCCGGTGGCACGTAGTGCCCCCGGCCATTTGCAACTAGTGTGCAAATGAAAACCCTTCCTTGAAACGCTTTCCGCGTCACTACCCCCAGGGTATGACAGGCATGAGAAATGCCCAGGATTCGACTTTCAAAAACGGAACGCTATCCGCGTCACTACCCTCAGGGTATGACAGGCATGAGAAATGCCCAGGATTCGACTTCCAAACCGAAACGCTCCCCGCGCCACCACCCCAAGGGTGTGGCAGGCCACGGACTATGTCTAGCGCCGAGGGGACGACTTTCAAAAATGAGGCGCTTTCCGCGCCATCCCCCAAGGGGAGGCAGGTTACGGACCACCATATCTTGTGCCCAGGAAACGTCCCTCGATCCCCTCGGAACTCGGAAGGTTAACCCGAGGGAGGAGAGCCATTGGTGTATTCTGATGGTCTCCTAATAGGCCCAGCCTTACCAAGAAACCAAGTTTCTTGATGCCTTCCCTTCACCACCAACCAAAAAAAAAAAGAATGAGGAGGTGAAGGGGAGTAGACTCAGCGAGAAATCAAAGAGTACACTCCAACAGATCACAACAAGCCGAGGGCTCCCCACGGGAACACCTCCGGTAACTGAAGGCTCCTATGTCTCGAAGGATACTACTCAAACAAATATCATCAGGAGACGGCTAAGTCCACTGCCTGGTCACCTCCGGTCACACAGGCACCGAAGGCTCCAGCAAGGGTCGAAATCTACACCTTTTAAAAATTATGCCGAGGGCACATACTCATCATTGGCATTCTTCACAACAACAGGATTCCACACATATTCGGCCCTCGGCCAGAGACTCATACAACACAAGGGATCTACATCCGGAAGCTCAACACCAATTTACGCTTAGAAAATATTCTAAGTCCTAAATTAGTAGCCCCCAGGCATCTCGCAAAGTAATGCAGAGTCAGATGGCACCTATCACCCGAAGGCTACACAAAGAAACAACACTTGAAAAATTCCAAGTCCTAAAATTGGGCCCCCGGCTCAATCAACATTACAGCCAGGGGAATACAATAGCCGAAGGCTATGCGATACAACAACACTTGCAAACAAAAAAATTCTATGTCCTAAAGATGGGCCCCCGGCTCAGTCAGTATTGCAACTAGAGGAATATGACAGTCGAAGGCCATACATCAAGAAGGGATGCCATCTCCCAAAGGCTCCCAAAGGAGATCTTGCACTTAGAATATTTTCTAAGTCCTACATGTTTCCCCCCCGGTCAACTACTCTTACATCAAGAAGGGATGCCATCTCCCGAAGGCTCCCAAGGAAAAATCTACACTTAGAATATTTTCTAAGTCCTACATGCTTTTCCCCGGTCAACTACTCATACATCAAGGAGGGATGCCATCTCCCGAAGGCTCCCAAGGGAGATTTTACACTTAGAATATTTTCTAAGTCCTGCATATTTTCCCCCCCGGTCAGCTACTCATACATCATGGAGGGATGCCACCTCCCGAAGGCTCCCAAGGGAAACTCTACACTTAGAAGATTTTCTAAGTCCTACATATTTCACCCTCATCTCAAGGGACCTAATTGCCGAAGGCTACCTATCAATCGAGGGCTACATTACACAAGGAATCAACACTCAAGAAAATTTTCTAAGTCCTAAAGAATTGGCCCCCGGCCTATTCAATATTTCAGTTGGGGCTCCGCAGTAGTAGCCGAAGGCTACATGACATACTACACTTGCAAAAAATCTCTAAGTCCTGTGCATTGGGCCCTCGGTCCAACATTCACACATCAGGAAGGGATGCCATATCCCGAAGGCTCTCAAGGGGAAATCTACATTTAGAAATTTTTCTAAGTCCTAGGGTTTGGGTTACTGCAAACACCCGAAGGCCCTATGGTGTGCTACACTTAGAAAAATTTTCTAAGTCCTAATTCCTACAGAACCCTCGGTTGCATATCCAGCAGAGGGTGCCCAACTACCGAAGGCTTCCGGGGGCAAGCTACAGTCAGAAAATATTCTAAGTCCTAAAACATGCATTCAAGAAGAAAGGAATTGGAGAAAACAAATCATATAAACACAGCCCGAAGGCAATCATTCAATCATCAACAAACAGTGGGCAAATGTAATACGAATAAATGTTACAACCAGGCCGAAGCCGAAGGATGAATAATGTCATCATTACAAATACTTGTTTACATGATACAAAATACATATCAAATCATGTCACTCCCGGGGGCCGCCTCCCCCGATGGCTTCGAGGTGACTTCTGCGTCGGCCTCAGGTTCGTCGCCCTCGGCTTCCTTCATGAGCTCAGAGTCCTCCAGGTCTGGCCTCTCGACATCGGGGGGAAGAGGAACGCGGATGTCTGGCTGCAGGGGGGAGCCCGTATGCTGCCGGGTCAAAGTCCTTTTGCTCGATCTTCAAGTGGCGAGCCATCCTCCGGTAGATGAGGGCTTGAGTGAAAAACTCGCCCCCATCATAGTATTGTTTACCCTTTCGAGAAACCCACTCCACGCCAGGCCCATCACACCACTCGTCGACCGAGGACTCGACGACCGAGGACAGCCATTGCTTGTGCTCCTCGGACCGCCACCCCCCTGCCAGGAACCCCGAGATTGTGTCCCCTCGGGCTCTCTCGACGGCTTCCACCTTCGCGGCCTCGGCTTCCTTGACAGCTTTCTCCAAGGCTTCAGCTGCGGACCTCTCGGCTTCTGCCCTACCCCGATCTGCGGCCTTCGCCCGCAGGGTCATCTGCCGAAGGCTCTCCTCCAGCATAGCCATCTGCCGAACAGCGTCTGCATTCTGGCGGATGAGCTCCCGCATCTTGGCCTCCTGCTCGGCCTTGCGAAGGCGCCACTCCTCTAGCCGCCGTGCTTGCTCCCCGAGGGCAATGCAGGTCTACAAAAACAAAGGGGTTAGCGAGGCCAAACATGGTTTCATGGCTCGAAGTAAAAAAGAAAGAAATAAACATAAAAGACTTACTGTGAGGGAAGACCGGAGGATCCTGTCCTCGAGGGTTTCGTCTTCATCAGCCCCGAGGGCCACTCTGTCAATCTCGAGGGTGATGCCTCTTAGAAGCGCCCTCGGGTCGGCCGTACCGTTCATCACGGCCGTACCAGCCGGGAGGGAAACCATGAGGACCTCGGAAGATGGCCCCTGAACTCCCGGCGGCACTTTCGCCACCTGCATGTCCTCATTCGCCCCGGAGGCAGGGCCTTCATCGACAATGATCACCGGGGGGACTTTCTTCTCGGCATCCCCGGTCTTGGGCTTCTTGCCCTCGGGATCTCTGCCCGAGCCCTTCCTTTTGGCGGTAGCAGCAGCATTAGTACTTGGGCCCACCGACGGCCCCTCCGGTTTTTTGAAGAAGTCACCGGCGGGTTTTGGGACGCCGGCGTCCGTCCCCCTCGGGCCCTTGGAGGGTTTTTTCTTCTTCAGGTCTGCAAGGCCTCTGACGTTCATCATTTTCACTGGGACACCTGCAAAAAAAAGGGTAGGGGGTTAAAATCGAGGGGTCGCTGACCGAAGGCACAAAGAATATAAAAAAAACACGAACAAGATAAGCTATGTGCTAAGATATGAAAACCGAGGGACCTCGTAGACTACCTCATGTTCCCCCGAAGGCCTCAGCAAAAATAGGGTACTTCTCGTCCACTTCCCCAATGAATCGGTATCTCCGAAAGCCGAGGGCGTATAATCCCTTATCGGCAGTATAGTCTTTGATGGAGACCTGCTTTGTGCGACCCTCCGGGATTTTTGCTATCACCAGGCCGTCTTTTTTGAGGGCGGCGCTTCCAACCTTCGGATGCCGACGGAAGCGATCCCGAAGTTCCGCCGGAAATGGGTTCTCAACAACCCTGACATAGCACCAGCGCTCCTTCCAGCCCTTATTGGACGAAGGCGCCTCCGTGAACAGCTTCCACCTGGCCACCTGCTGCAAGTTGGCGAAGCCCTCGGCATTCGCGTGACCCCCTCGACAGAGGTTGAAGCTCTGGAAGAACAAGTCCAGGTTGGGGGTCACCCCTCGGTCCCTACAGAGGTTTAAAAAACCCGCCACGTAGGAGTGGCTATTAGGTGTCAGCTGGCAGGGTACCAAGCCAACAAACCTCAGGTACTCCCAGAGGAAGGGGTGCAGAGGGAACCGAAGGCCCATAGAGACCGACAGTACGTGTACTGCAATGCACCCCTCAGGCGTCCGAGAGAGCACGTCGTCAACTCCTGGCTCGACCACCTCGGCCGAGGGCCCTACATGTAGTTGCGTCACGTAGAGGTCCGCCCTGTCCGCCTTCGACTTTATCTCCAAGGCAGCCGTGTTGAGCCAGGAATACCCCTCCGGCATATCTACGGGTTTCCCCTGATCAGCAGCAATAACCTTCTTCTTGGGGACAGCTGCCTTGGCCTTCTTCTTCCCGGGGGCCACCCGGATGGGAACTGCATTCAGCGGCTGGGAAGTACTGGCCTCACCAGCACCCCGAGGGGGAAGGACGGCCACAGTGACCTTCGCCCTCTCCTTTTCCTCCTCCTCTTCAGCAACTTAGACGGCGAGGGCCAACTCTTCATCCTCGGCAGTTCGCTCGAATTCCTCCGCCTCGGCCTCGGCCGTCAGATCCTTCTGCACCGCAGTGGCGAGGGCTGCATCACCACCATCCGAGGGCTGACCATTGCTGGACTCCACGTCGGAGATGCCTTCGTCCTCCATCGAGGGCGTCCTCGAGATGTCCTGGGAATCGCTCTCGGACGACATTTTTACCACGAGGTGTGTCTAAGGTTTCTACAGGACTAACCCTAATCTAAGGCCAGAGGGCGGAACTTACTAAAAATTTGGAGAGGAAAATGGGCACTGACCTTGAAAGCAGAGTTTTGACCGAAGGCAGGAGTTTCTCTCACTAGATTTTTTGGCAGAGCTTCGCTAAGACAACTGAGTTCGCACAGCGGGAATGGCTCTGGCCTTGGGGTATTTATAGGCGCTGGAATCCGGGCTTGGGCCCGGAAACCAGGCCTCCAGACGGACCGTCATCATTACACACCGTCGTTTCACCCAACCGGTGACGCCGCCCGCGAACAGCCAGCCATCACACGCCACGTGTGCCACCCCCCCAACGGCTATATCCCGTCGTTACATATTCCAACGGCTATATTTCAAACGGCTATATTCTGGAAGGCCCCGGGTTTTCTACTTCACTCCATTTCATCGAGGGTAGCCTCCGGGTACACTCACCCAGAAGTGCCCCCGGGTTGTGCCCCACACAGCACATAACAAACGCCCTCGGGATCACTCCTCCAGAAACCCAGGGCTTCATATCAGGGCACCCCTCGGGGATTCCCCCTCAGCACTGCAAAACCGGGGTAGCCCCCGGGGAGTTGCCTCATTGACGGATGGCCCATGGCACACAGGTAATGGGAGGCCTCGGGTATCTTCATCACCAACTAATAAACAGGCAGTGGACCCCCCGGAAACAACTCCATTGTCGCCCTCATCCAGCAGGCCCTCGATCCCCGAATTGAGGGCCTCCCCTTCGGCGCCACCAGGACATCAACAGCAAGCCTTCGGCTAATCAACACAGGAGCCCTCAGAAGAGAGAGCCTTCGGCATTCCCGTCATTCTCCATTTCTGACCAAGGTTTCACATTTTCGATTCATCATTGGGGGAATTCGGTGCACTCTTTTTCCCTCATTAGGATTTTTCCCCCAGGGTTTTTCCTAATGAGGTTTTTAACGAGGCATCCCCCCAAAATGAAACGAAAAGCGTCAGCCTTCGGCCCGCAACAGCAACGTAACTACTTTACTCCTTTTCACCACTTTACAAGTGCCTCAAGGAGTGGGGGACTGGAGGACCCCCTCGGGAAAATCATTAAATTACAAAATTTGTGAAAATCCAACAAACAACAAAGCAAGCCCTCAAGTCCCGACATGTGGGTAACTGAGGGACTGCCTTCGGCAGGGACATAAAAGCAACAACTCCTCACCAACTTCAGAGATCACGACGGGACAACATCAAGGGGCAAGCACAAATTACTCCTTTTCCCTCAAGTACCTTTCGGCAAAAGGAGTGAGGGACTCCTGATGGAGTATATGGCCCGGGAACCCCCGGCCCACAGACTCCTACTACTCCAGCGAAGGCCCAACAGGCCCAGAAGGCCCAACAGGCCCAGAAGGCCCAACAGGCCCAGATCACAGCGCCCAGAGTACCAAGCAGCCCGCACTACGCGCCAGGGGTGCCTTTGGCCCCCTGGCCGAAGGCTCCAAATTCTCACAGAACGGGTTTCTCAAGCAAATTAAGAAACTGGGAGAAAACGGCGAAAACAGTAGCCCTCGGCATTGTGAGCCCTCGGCACCAGGGGGTGCCATCGGGTGGAAGAGCCCTCGGCTACTGCTCTATAGCCGAAGGCATCTCACTCGACAAGATATCCGCCTCACATGCGTACAGATCACCGTACCCCGCACAGACGTCCCATCCAACAGCCGCATTAAATGCGGCCACATGCGGCTGCCAGCGCCAACCAGTTGAGGTGACCCCTCAGCCAATGAGCGTTTGACACGTGTCCCTGCCCGACATTTATTGCTACTATAAATAGCACCCCATTTCCTCATTTGTAACCACGCTGAAAACGGCATTCATACTGAATACACTCTCTCTCTACTTTTACTTACTTGCTCTGACTTCTCTCTAAGTTATTCCCCGTAATAACCCTTCGGATATATACCCCCGGGTAGACTATCCATCAGTGACAATGCCTCTTAGGAAATCCGAAGAATGAATGAGGCGGCTCATCTTCAATGGTGACTCCTCTTAAAACATACAACTTACAATATTACAAAATTTTGATTGACGATCAAGTGACTCGACCAGTTTAAGCTATTTTAAATTCTTTTGTCAAATCCGTTACACGAGATCTTTTCCCCCAAACAGTTTCTATCAAATAATTTCCTAAGATTTCTGCTGAAATTTGAATCTGAAGTGGAGCAGAAGGATAAGTTCGGCCTTTCACAGTTGAGCTCTGTTCCACACCTCAATATTTTTTCCATTTATGTATGCAAGGTACTATCATGTTCTTTATGGGCATATGTACACGATATACTCTGTTTTCACGTCTTTAATCTTCTCGAGTAGCCCAAATCTTTTTAATAAGCACGACAAATATGTTTTCGGGAGTTATGATGTTTTATCACAAAATGCTCTCACACTTTTCTTAATGCTTGTTTTAATTTTACTCCGTATATTTTAAGATTTAGGACCTCCAATTACATTTTGAACAGGGCTCTTAATACATTCGGGCTGGCCCTGGATTTGCCTTTCTCTCCTAAAATTCAAAACAATGAGGCTTAGCTTGCGACCTTACCATGCCTCATGTGTTTTTTTATCATAAACAAGCGACCGTTATATTAAAACCGAGAACATATACAAGACAACTGATGGAGTAATGGGACTAGGCCCAGAGTCTAATCAGCCCAAGCCCTGAACTTGAACCCATGGATCCAAGTCCATAACCTGAAGCCTGCCTGCCAGCCCGGCGGGGAGCCTGCCAGTCCGGCCGACCTCCTAGTCCGGAAGAGTAACGGTCAAGCAATTAATGCGCTATTAATTATGTATTTAATTCCGTATTAATGTTGTAATTAAATAGTCATTATTATCAGTAACGGTTACGATTTGTATACGCCTATAAAAGGCGGGTTGTAATTCAGATTAGAGGAGACAACTTCTATACGCTATTTCTGGCAACTAAACACTTTTAGCTTCTTTCCTTATTTGCATTATTTTCCTGATTTCCTGGTTGAGTGTCGTACGTAGCTTTCCTAAAAGCCTACGAGCGTCCTATTCTGGACCAACATTGGTGCTTTCATTGAGAGCCTCTATTGATCTCTCACATCACTTTAGTAGGAAAAAATTCAAGAAATTCATCCCAATCCAAGGTGATACAGTTCCACTTCCTGCTATTCTCTTCGCCAATCACAGCTGGATGCCGTGCGCCGATGTCGCTGCTGGTCTCCCTCATCGCCACGCCTATTCATGAGATAGGCCTTCAAATGTGCGCCCACCTAATTCCTATGGAGCAAGAGTCTGCTCTGCGTTAAAGTGGATGGACCATGATTACACTAAGACCAAATTTGATTCTCCTCAAGGATGATGGGCTGAATATTCAGCAACGCATTCAGGCCCGTTTGGCTCTAAAGCTAAGTTTCCAAAAATCCTCTATATTTGATACAAAAAAATCATAAATTCAAACATTTGAAAAGATATTTTCAGTGGTTTAATTGCTTTTACTCTTGTTAAGCGTGTGTAATTTTAACATTGAAAAATGGGCTTATGAAATCCGATCACTCACGTACACCGGGTGAGCACACACACTCGTACACTGGCCGAGCACACACACTCGCGCCACCGGGTCACGTGATATGGGTGTGGCGATTAATAAGCTCCAATATAAATGTCAATACCGCACACTCTTGACTTCATACGAG